AATCTCTTGTCTTTTGAAATAAAAATGTTAAAAAACAAAAAAAAAATTTGATCATTAATTAATCAGAGTCGGCAGCATATAATAAAACATTATTTATTCATAATACAATATCTTGATAGTAATAAAAAGGTTAGGATCAAATCCTGCCAAAATAGAAGCTCCACGATGTCATATCAATCATGCCTTACTTTGAATTCATATTTATATACCTACAAATACATTCATCATTTCTAAATATGCATTGTTCGAAAGAATTCTTTTATAGAGACCGCCTATCAAGGTCACGTTGATATCCGCTCTGATTTTTAATAAWTTATGAAATCTATAAAACAATCCAAAAMGTTTGCCCTTACATCGYAAAAATTMTTTTTCTGTTACAAGGAATTACCWCGTTTTGCCCTSTAAAAGTAATGACATGGAMTWYCGTAKTTCKTGAACTTTGTGATTTCTTCAGTACGACAAGGAAGACAGATGAGATTTAAGGTCCATGTTGTCTCAACATKAGAGACAAATATTTCAATATATGACTCTCGTCACAGACATAATGGGTTGCATAGTACCTGTTCCATTACCTTAGTAATYGATGTGAAAACACAGGCAGGGGACCATTGAAACATAAACCAATGTACAGCTTCATTCTGCTGACTTCAAATATCAAATGATGAAAGCCTAGGCAGCATATGTTGTCCAAAAACGTGTACGCTGAAAACTACAAAGTAAGTCATGAAAAACGATCAAACAATGGGGTTGGGTTGGGAATTATCGCGTAATCGTTTTCTTTGGCGCAGGTGGTTTGGGAAGATCTGTACTTCAGTCCTTCTTCATTGCAAACTAGTCTTTTTTTYAGGGAAAATTATGGTATTAAAATGTATGCATATATAGATCTACATGTTCTTCCCTTTTTTATACATATAAAACATTTGAACTACGGAGAGATAAATATTTTGACTTTTATCTGCCATTTTTTAAAGGCGTGCTACAACTAACAATATATAATGAATAACCTTGTGAAGATTTCAAATTGGATCACGGAAATTAAAGTTATGACAATTTAAAGCTTGAAAATATTTCCCGGGGAATTTTCGMGAAGACATTTTGATAGAAAAAATTCGGAGACATATTGTTTGTKATTTTTTTTACTTCAGAATATTTTTACGAATTTCTTACGATAATTAAAAGAGAAACGGGCGGCAGAAAATTKGTTGGTTCTAGAATGTTGAGTTTGGGGCTCAAAAGAAAGATATTCATGAAGTTTTTAAATTTAAAAGTCTCTGTCGAGATAGTCAGCTGACTTTGTCTTTTATTGTATAGTCTGTTGACGTTTGTACATTAAATATAATTACCTGATATCATGTCTTAACCTAAACCTAAAAGAGATTTATCATTAGAAATTTTTATTTTATTTARTTCAATCGTTACTTGGAAACCATTCTTGTCCTGGAGGTAAAATTGCTTCATGGTTATATTATCAATAATTGTGTCATTAATAATTGAACCCCTATAGCTACCAGCTGCGTGGCGTGGATAGRTCAGGGACCGCGACACATATTTTTGATTGGGAGGGTTAAAAATATCAAAGTTAGTTTCAAACTGCAGCGAGGGATGTTGAAGGAAGCCTTTTCAGTTTTAAAACACTTTGAATGAATAAATTAGCAGCAATCATGGACATTTTGCTATCGTCAAAATGGTGGGAACTAGCGGTAAACTAGTGTGAGCTGCGTCGGTGACTTTTACTCCGAYGAAGGATTAACGTCGRAACGTCAGTAAGTTACTTCACCTACTTTTTTACGGTGTTTAATTTACATTTTGCTATCGTGGCCGGCGGTCAGCGGTATTTATAGGAGGAT